TCTCTCTCTTTTATAGGTTGTTCTGGTCACACTGTGTCTGTCAAAGAATGGTTCGTCTTTCCAGGAAATCCACTTAAGGAGCCAAACAGAGTCACTCCAAAACCCCTCAACCATCTAAGTATATAATTCAGTAGTTATGTTCTACATATTTGCTCGTCGTTAGGAAGTACCTCACTTGGAGTTTCTCATGTGCTAAGCATTACACACTACCTCATTTGATGCTTCTAAAGGCTGGAATACACTACACAACTTTTACCCTGATTTGCAGTCTGGATGAGTTTTTGAGCAGTTTGTGGCCAGTCAGAGTTGACATATTTCACAGAAAATCATGTAGTATTTGAAGGGCACGGACTATGGCTTTTTTAGCTTCATATAATGATTCCATCCAGATGGAAGATAACCGACATATTTGATATTTTGAGCTGTTTTTAAAACACATTGTTTTGATTTGTAATGCGTCTCCTAACAACAAGGCATTAGTTTCTGCATTAGTTTATTGCGTTCGGAACAACTTGAAAGTCTAGTCCTCAGTCATTTACTGTATGATGCCCAGATTTTCCTCTATAACCTCTAAATTTGTATAATGTATCGCAGCCTTACGTAATCCTGTGATTAATCTCAAGAAATCGATGTTCTGTTTTTAAATTTACATAATTCTCTTTGCTCTTTTGCATTTCCTCGTATCAGTGATTACATGACACAGATGCTTAGTGATAAAAAGAAAAAGGCCATTTGGTTCGATCACTGCATTTTGCTGCATTGCAAATTAATAAATTAACAGCAAATTTTCATTTTTGGGTGAACCATTCCTTTAATTCACTCTCATACACGCCAACCCCCACAAGTTAAACTTGTGGTTTTCATTAATCAACAGAAGGGCCCCCTGATCTGATGGCTCTGTGGTTTAGGACGGACCCAGAAGTGAAAGCAGTCCAAGCATCAACACTCCTGGATGTGTTTGACCTGTATGAGTTTACTGAAGAGCTGAAGCAGTTTGACAGCCCTTTGATTGCTGTGATTTGTCTTGTAACCTACATCACCATTCAGGTGTGTTTAACTTTTCATCATTGATGCCACGGACCACTGAGGTTTTCGCTTGAATGTAAACAAATGGCTCTGTTCAGGTCCATTCACACCACGTATGCTCTGTTAGCCTTTATTTATTAATGATGTGGCCTCATTGCATTTCAAAAGAATTTCAGCTGCCTCTCTTCAACGCCGTTTATTGTGTGTAGTCCTTATCAGACAACTCCGATACCCTTGCATTGTGTACAGATGTGTGTGTGTTGACACTTGATGCTTGTTGTGTATACTTGAGTGTGATTTTCACAGCTTGCTTGTAGAGTAAAAACACTGTTTGTTCCTGGATCTAGACGAGACAGCTTTCCCTGGAAGACGTAGATGCATATCTAAGCCAAGCTGTTTGTGTCAGATTCAAATCCTTCAGAGAAATGCAACAGCTCAGGGTGAGTCTTTCGCGCCGCCTCTGCCTTTCTGAAAGCATTGTTTTTACACTCCTATGCTCACCCATTTTAACTGGGCTTGGTTTGGAGTCTTTTAGAAAACAACTGTGGTCATGTGTGTTCTTTTGTAACATACCTAAAAAAGGCAGTCTGTTTTTTGCAGTTGGTTCGATTACTAGGTCCAAATCTGAGTTTGACTCCACCCACTTTTTTGTGCACTCACTTGTTTCCATTTACATTACCTTTATTCGTTTAGCAGTCGCTTTTGTCCAAAGTGCCTTAGAAATGAGGAATTCAACACAAAGTGACTCCTAAAGGCAGGGTAGGTGATTTGGTTCAAAAACATTTTGTGTTATGCTGGTTGAAAGCCTCTTCACATCCATGAATAAAAGATACAAAATAATAATAATAAATCATAAGTATGTTCATCATATAAAACGATCATATCTCTTCAAAAGGTCATTATGACTCTTTTTGGATCTTCTAAGATTTAATGGAATAGATTTTCAGTCTACGAACAAAAACTCCTCGGGTTTCATAAAAAATATCTTCAGTTGTATATTGAAGAATAACCCAAGTCTTATGGGTTTGGAACAACTTGATGGTGATGACACAGAATGTTTATGTTTGTGTAAACTATCCATTTAAAATAGCTACATTAGATGATAAACACTGTAATCTATGTCAAATCAGCACAACAACATGGAAATGCAACAGATCGAGGCCTTTTGCTTGAGAGATGCATCAGATTCTTTTGCTATTTGGAAAAAAAATGGGGAAAGAGACTGGAGGGATAATTTCTGGTTGCTTTGCGACATTCCTCTCAAATACTACTCTAATTGTGGTCTGAACCTGAGAGCGATGCTCTGGTGACGGGCTCCGCGTCGTCCCTGCCGGCAACCACAGGGCTATTTCAGCTCCCACCCTAATTTAAACCTCCTATGCGTGCTATTTCGGACACGGCTGCCAAGGGCGTCCTGTGGTTTCGCAGTGCTTGGATTGAGAGCCCTCCCCACAGCACAGATAATGGATGATAGAGGGACAAATTAGAGCCTCTTGGGAGATATCCAGCAAGCCACCTCCTAATTTACAGATCCTCCTGTGTCTACGGCCGTCCTTTTTGTGTCTGGTGTGAATCCCTCCAGTCTGTTGTATTCAGATGCTGATGCATATCTCATCCTTGACTTGTGAAACGCCAAGCTGTTGACCATACAAATGAACTATTAAGCTGTGTTTATATTTTTACAGATTATATGTTTATTTACTTTTGCTAATGTGGTTCAAGCAAATAATTTCAATCACCCAGACAATGACTTACTCTGTATCTTTTATGCTTTGTAATGAATGTTTATTGTGCACTTGGCCAGAGTATTTATTTATATATGATCCCACGTGTTTACGTTTTGGCTCAAGTGAAGTGATATGCCTGAGTTTATGTTGCCCACAGTATGTGATAGCGTTGAGGGATTGTGTGTTTAGAGGGCGCGCACAGCTACAGGTGTCGGGTTGCTTGCTGACCCAGAGGCGTGTATGTGCTCAAGGCGTGGCGGCGACAGCCTGCCGCTGGCCAGATGAAAGTCTGTAAAGCTCTCCTGCCTCCCATGTGCCATGGGGTGACGGGAGCACCTGTTACACACGCCATTGTTGTCTCCCATCGGGAGTTACACTGTAACATCTGCCTGAAATGTGAAAAGGGATGAGGTGGGGGGTATTAGGAGGCTGTAAGAGCCAGACAGATGGCAGGAGGGTCTCCAGGGGCTGCCTGATTACCCCCCTCTAATCTGTTTCCCCCTGTGTTGCTTTGTCATAGTAAGGGAATGTAAATGCAAGCTAAGGATGCCACTACGCAGCATCTGTAAAGGATGAATTTAACGATTCTGATTCCACTTTATTATTCCAGTTCAAACATTCGAACATTCTTTTCGTAATTTTGAGGAACAACCCAACTCATATATATTTAAATGCAATTTTTGTTTGAATGAAATTAAGCTTTTATTCACCAAGAACGTATTAAATTGATCAAAATACAAGTTACAAGAGAATTTAATTCAAATAATTGCTGTTGTTTTGGATTTTCTATTCATCAAAGAATCCTGACAAAAATGTATCATTGATTCCATAAAAATAGTAAGCAGCATTTAACTGTTTTCAACATTTATAATAAGAAGAAATGTTTCTTGAGTAGCAAAACAATAATGACTGAAGACTGGAGTAATGATGCTGAAAATTCAGCTTTGCCGTCAGGAATAAATTACATTTGAACATATATTAAAACAGACAACAGTTACTTTAATAATACAGTTACTAATAATATAATTAATAATATTACAGTTTTTACTGTATTTGATTAAATAAATGCAGCCTTGAGACTTTTTGTTAAAACATGAGAAAATCTTATCAACCCCAAACTTTTAAAAGGTAGTGCGTATATATAGTTATTTTTTATTATTATTATTTATATAGATAATTTATTTCAACAGCAGTACTGAGTGAGGGAGTCATAGACCAACTCAAACTGGTAGTGTATGGATTTGAGACTGATTTGTGAGAACCAGTTCTATTCGGAACCAGATCCATTTTTATTTTTCAAAAACACTGAAGGCAAACAATTTTCATGGCATTCAGTTCCATTACTGGTTCCTTACCACAAACACACAGTTGTCTGACTTAGGAGTCGGTTCTTTTTATTGAGTTAAAAAGATGCACAAATGCAGTGTTTTGAGCAGTTCGGAACAAGTCTAATAAGTCCCTCATACATTGAATTCGAATCAGAGCAAGAATCATTAAATTCCATACAATTACAAAACCATAACTAAAACAAATCTTTAGCATTGTGCTTTAGATTCAGCAACAGTGCATGAATCACTAGTACAAGCATTTCAATACAGTGATCTGTTTGCATTGGTGGATGAATGCAGCCATTCAGTATCCATTAACGGAACCAAATCATTCAATTCCAGTATTGAAAAACAGAATGTGTTCTTGGTTCCCAACCCTTTAACTGCAGAAGACTGGTTTCAGACACAGCCCACAATGTTTATTTAGTAAATCAAAAATTGAAAGTTCATTGAAATACCACACAAGCCTAGTCTTGTCATGCGTGAATGTTTACAGTAGTAACATTGAGCAGATGTGCATTAAGGTATGGCACAGGTGCAGAGCCTGAACACAAGGCTGTAGTTTGCCATTAATGTTGAGCTACGTGTCCTCAGGGGGTCCAGCGGTCCTTCAGGCATCTGGCTGGAGCAGTTCTCATTGTTCACTGTTGAAATGCTTGCAGAGCAGCTGCTGTTCTGGTTTGTTGTCCCACTCTATACCTTTACAGCAGCAGGGTGGCATCAGCATTGTCCCGAGGCCTATTGACTTCCACGCTGAGCAATTAGCGGCTTTAAAGGTGCTAAGGCTTTTACGTGTCCTTTTAAGTGGTTTAATCAAAGCCGGTCTACTTCATCCCGCTTTCTAAACCTTATGCATAAAAGTGAATGTGATTAAATGCTCTCGTTTCTCTGAAGAGGCATGGTTTTAAGGAGGAAGTCAGGCCTGTGTAAACAGCATAATATTTCAAGTGACGGCCCAGCTCTCAATCTGTGCGCCTGGAAGGCGCGGGCAGTGGGTTGCTGCTGTCACTTCAGCTTTATCTCCAGCCTCCCTTTTGTTTGCTTTAGTCTAAGCTGTGTTTTAGAGCAGAGCAGGTGGCAGGCCAATTTTACGTTTTGATGTCACAGAAGCTAATCAGACCGTCTCTTATCTCCTGTGGGTGGGGGTGAGGGACCAGGTGACCAGTGGGCAGTTTTGTGGGGGGGTGGGGGACCCTTTGTAAACATCCGCTTAGCCGCACGGCCACTTCAGGTGAGCTCTACAGGGTCACACTCTGCCTTCCTGCAGCCCGAGTTGAAAAACACAATAGGCTCAATATGTAAGATTTTTTTATTCAAATATCCAAAAGCCCCTAGAACGGTGTTATATATTTTGCTGACTTGTGTACTTAAATTATCCCAAATGTTTCGAAGAATGTTTAAATCCAGAGAAATAAGCAATTTTAACTAGTGACACGGACCGTGTCCATAGTGTCATTGTGTCGCCTGCCAATGACGTCATAACCCCTCGATTTCCGGTTTTGTTTTGTAGAAAACATGGAAACACCAAAGACGCTTTAATATGTTGTGCGTTTTAATAGGCCGGTGACGTCCGCACAGAGTAGCATTATAACAGAACTTTCAAACGTTTCTAGTAAACGTTTCCTCGTTTCGCTTCGGCTTTCAGCCTCACCCTGCTTCATTCTGCTACGTTAATAAATCATTAGCTCATCCATGAACATGATTTCTGCCCGAGTCCCGTCGGATTGCATCGGCTGTGGGGATGAAGACCACAACTCCCTTGATTCCACACTCAGTCACTGCCTAGGCCTTTGTCTATTTGTTTATTTTGAATACTCGCCCTCTAGCGGCAAAAAATGACATATTGTGCCTTTAATGGTATGATGAATTTAAAACCCTACTTTAAAAAAAAATCTGTGGTTTAAAGTATCAGTTCGATCACAAATAAACATTCTGTAATCATTAACTTGTGTCGTTTCCAACCTGTATGACTTACTTTAGTCAATAAATCACAGAAGGAGAAGTTTAGGAAAATGTCCCAGCTGCTCTTTTCCATACAAAAACAGGAATGTCTGGCGAACACCGCCAAAAAAAAGCATAATGGATCTGTAAATTTGATCCATTAATATGAATATTTAATGAATTTAGATTTTGTATTTTGTATGCTGAAAATATTCCCCTCTATAAAAATGTTCAAATCTCTTTCGTCCATCTGTTTCAATTGTTGGTTACGAGAAATGTGCCTACCAATATCGTTTGGTCAAACTTGCTGACAAATATGTGAACGTGAATTAAATTTGTGACCTGCAGCGGAGGTTTTTACTGAATACCTACATTTTGGTTTCATACTCGCTGGTTTCCCTCTTGATGTCGACCAGCTCATGAACTGCTCATGTTGTGTCTTAGAGGCAAATAGACTGCTTTTTGTCATCAGATATTTTAGTGCAATTATGGCGGAGTGGCCCAGTGCCTATGTTTTGAATCTCAAGATGTATCCTGTTAGATTGATGTTCTTTTGTTTTTGGTCGTCTGGAATTCCAGCTACTTTATTTTGTCATATGCTGTTCTTAGAGCATCTGTTGTGCACAACATGTTTTCAAGTTTTTTGTAGGAAGTGCTTGTCATCCCTTTCGAAACATGGCATGGGATTTTTTTTCTTCTTCAACAAATGGTAAGTAAAGGGAGATAGTGATTTGAGCCATGTTAGTATTTTATAAACAAAAATCATTAAATTATAAAAAAAATCTGTTTATTAATAGTTAGTAGGGTAGTTGTTAAGTTTATGTGTGTTCTAGGATTAAGGGATCATAGATATGGTCATGCAGAATAATCCATTAATATGTGCTTTATAAGTACTAATAAACATATGCTTGCTAATAAGCAACTAGTTGATATTGAGAATTGGTCCTTAAAATGAAGTGTTACAATATTTTACATACAAATTGAAAGAAATGCCACAATAATAACTAGCTAGTTTGAAACCAAGTGTTTGGTTACTTAGAAATATTTTTCTTTAATTTCATTATCAATATATTTATATGAACTTTTTCTTTACAATAACTTGAATGGCTCTAAATCGATGACAACTTTTGCATTTCATTATGGAATGTTGTTACGAAAATCATTTGGTGGCAGGGTTGACTACGAAATATTGGACACAGATCAATATTTTAGGTCATCCGAATAGTTTATTATTTTAATTGCTAAATATAGTCAAAAAGTTCACAAAATCTGAGGGACCATTTTAGAAGGGGATTCAAACATGTGATGCGTGTAATCTAGCTAACTATCTAGTAATGCTTGCAACAAAAAACATGGCATTTATGTCTCTAATGCTTAAAAAAGTAGTGGAAGACCAAAGTCTAAAGAGTGAAAATTCAAAACAGAAACAAAATCCTCTCATCTCTCAATTGGCCTGAAAACCAAAACTGTTTCTGACAGTTTGTCATTCTTTTCTACTTCCTAAACATTGCGTCTTTTCCCTGAAATTAATTCACACCAATATTTTTCTGTCACTAAGAGGATTGTTTTGAATCTCAGATGTCTTTAAGTGTCAATTGCAAGATGCTGTTGGGGCTAGACGTATAAAGGTCTGGTTGTAATTTATGTGTGTTTGAGGCAGTAATCATTGCCTCAGTCTTTTGGGGACATGGTGGTGAAGTTCAGGCTTCAGAATTGTACGTTTTAGGTTTCCAGTGATGCTCCACTGCAAATACTAATTGTGAGAGAGTCAAGCCTCCAATTAAAACTGCATTTAAATGCTTCTTTTTTTGCCATAGTGAGACCCATGGAGGCTGATGATCTGCTTCGAGAAAGACGACCCCAGCTCCATCACAGCACACGGCAGGAGTTCAGACAGCAGCCCAGAGCTTCAGCACACTACCAGCAGGGTATACCACAGTACACAAGACAAACAATGGCATAAACAGAATTAAGCATATGAGAAAAGAACAAAGCTTGTATGGTTTGTTTGATATTTTATGTTTTTGATATTAAGAATTCCATTTGGTATTTTTAAAATGTAATAAAAGCATAACGTCTTGCATAGGTTATAGACCAAGACATCCGAAGAGAGGAAGGTATCGCCTCGCACCTCGGTGAGCTCTGTGCTTTCAGCATAACCCAATAATTACCAGTGTGAGCCTGTAAAAACAGATTATGATGCTGGCTTGACAAAGCTCTTATCTATCTATCTATCTATCCATCCATCCGCCCATCCATCCATCCGCCCATTCATCCATCCATCCACCCACCCATCCACCCGCCCCACCGCCCATCCATCCATCCA